ACACAAAAAATGATCACGGCTGTACTTTCTGCTGATATATTATATACATATGTTCCATTTAGTTAAACCATCTAAGAATATTGTAGTATGTACCACAAAAACGTATATTTTCTATAAAAAATCATAACTCAGAAAAAAAAATCTTCGCTATTAGAGATTTGGGTTGATTGTAGTTCAAAGTGTCTCTTTCCCGATAAAAAAGTTTGAGACAAAAAAAAAAATACACTTTTTGAGAAATTAAATTTAAAAAAAATTTGCACTTTTTGTTTATTGTTAAATAAAAAATTTTAAATAATGAAAATCAATAATTATATCATTCTATCTTGAAGTGACACGAATTACTGACATTTGAGTAAAAACATTGTTGGAATCTATTAAATTTTGACAAAGTTATGGGCATTTAAAAAAAAATCTCACTGTCAATTCGAATAATCGATTTTTGCCTGAAAAACAAAATCGCGTTTAATTCGGCCGAAAAATTTTTCCGAGCCAAAAGAAAAAATACGTGTCTCATTATTTGGACCAACAAACAATGTATTTGAGTTTGGTCGAAATTAAAAATCATGCTCGTACCTGACCGGTTGTCTGGAAATGGAAAGCATCTTAGATATATCTTTCCACTTTTCTGTTGACGGTATGGGCGCCATTCGCGGACCGCACAATACTTTTGCTTACATTTTCTTTTGAGAAAACCTTTCAACACTGTTGCCAACTTAGTGCTTTTCGCACTACAGTTAGTGCGTATTCAAAAAGCGTAATTCTTGAGTTTGGTGCTTGGTGCGTTTTTGGTGCTTTTTTGTTTGTTCGAAGACACCAAATTTGTAACTCTTAAAAAAATGGAAGCAAAATTTACAGCAATCGTAATGCTGGATTTCCACTAGGCATTAAATGGCAAAAATGTCAACTGATAAATTTGGGCATTAAAAAATATTCGTGTCATTATGTTAAAAAATTGTCATTATGTTAATTTCCACGTGGCATTTTTTTAAATGGCATGTACTTATTTTTTGTCATTTCTAGTGGAAATTCGGCACAAGTGTTGTAAGCAGCTTTACAAAAATAAAAACAAAATCATTGAACAATGACAATCATAAGCAAGAGAGGATATGTTTGCCAACAAAATATGTGGCAGCACTTTCAATCAAGCCAGAAGAAATCGACCGTCGAGCGAGGAACATTGAATGACTATGAAATTTTGTATGCATATAAAGTCCATTAAACAATCCAATAAAAATTTGGTGCTTTATTCAAGAAAAACCGCAATTTTTTCGGGTTTTAGCTCTTTTGCAAAACTTGACAACACTGCCTTTTTTCGATTCTTCCTATTTTTCTTCTTGAATTCATCTTTGCTCTCTTCTCTTTGTATTTGATGACATCAGCCCCGGTTGCTCTCAGCTCGATTGGCGCAATCTACTATTCCATCATTCTTGTTTCTGTAGCTCTGAGCAAATAACTTCAGTAGTTTCAGCTACTACACACGATATGGAGCTAATACCTCAAGCAAAATACAATGCTAACCAAGTAAAGGCGCTGCCAGTCCCAAGATATCTAAATACAAAATAAGTTAATTAATATACTTTTACATTTGTCTTTATCTATCTTGATTCGTTATGGCTGTTACAAATAACCGTTATGCGATCAAAGTTATAACACCCTTGTGCACAAGTGCGCTCGGGTATAAAAATGGTACCAGGGCAAATGGAGTCCAAATATGTTAGCTGACTTCTGCTTTTTAATTAATGGTGTTTTCGTTTTTACCAAAAAATGTTGCCCTTGCCCGGTGCAATATGTGTTTGATGTTAAACTCAACCCTGTAAGAGTGCATGTTTTTGACTTTTTTTATTATCCAGCCCACGCATTTCATAACATTATCGTTTTAAGCAAACCATCTGATTTTCAGGTCAACCATCTCTCCTGACAAAGCTTCAAAGGCCAGAAAATTTACCTTTTTTGCCTTACAACAGTGTGACATTTTAAGAAACAAACACAAAGTTTTCTCACAGTTTTCCCTTATTTTATAAACGCACACGAAAGGAGAAAGGGCAATCAAAATGCGAAATTTTTTGGTAGAAAAGAAATTACCATAAATGCTGTGCAAAAGAAGGCGCCTGAATTATTTTAGTAATGTATAGATTGTAGTTGTAGATACAAAATAACCCTTTCAATTTCATTAGCTTTTTTTAAGGTCAGTTTTGTGCACCAGTTTGTGAATTCTTTTCTATACTCGTAATAAATACATAATATGTATGTACATATATGTATAAATCAGGGTTGTTGCGAATATGCGCATTCGCAACAGCGGAACTTCCGCATAAATTTTAACATTCGCTTTCGCAATAATCAATGCGGAGCTTTTGCGAATGCGAATATTGTGCAAGTGCACTGATAAACCGTATATCTAGCAAACAAAAAATTGTAGCAATTTTTACCTGTGGAGATGCTACGGTAAGACTGTCCCCTTCTTTCGTAATTTAAAGTCAAAGAGTAAGATAATAGTAAGTATTTCCAGCGGAAATGTTCAACGGCTGGCTATAAAGAATAATAATATAAAGTCGAATATTTGCGCGTTAAAGGATTACCTTTAATTAGGTAAGAATTATGTAACTATCGAATATTATTTGTCAAAGGTCTGTTGAAAATACTGGATGCATCGCTAGTTCTTTTCTACTTTTTCCTAGAAAAGTGTAATTATTTTTTCTCTCATAAAACTTATTATGCTTAAGTTCCGTGTTTCCTTTTATTAGTGTTTCAGCTCGAAAACAAAAACATTTATTTTAATTTTGTGTAAATTGTCAAAATTAGCACGCATCGAAATAAAGATGAAATGATATGTAAATAAGTTGACAGCCAAGTTCAAAAATTAAATAAGAATTAATTCAAGGTGAATTTTATATCTATTGAGGAACGGGCATGTAACATATCGTTAGTATAGCATAGAAAGGGCTTAACTCACATCGTCGCTGAAATACAAAAAGCCGTAACTAACTAAAAATCCAAAATTATTTGTTTGATTGATTATGATGCATTTCATCGAATCATAAGTCCCCACATCGTTTTAGGCAATACAAAATTTTAGTTAGTTGTGGTTTGTTTGCGTTCATTCGCCAATCAATATTTAAATCAATATAAATCAAAAGTTCATTTTTCTTAGTGAGGTAGTCGCTTTGCCTCTCTCATCTCGCCATTTGACATTCATAATAGAAAAAACTCTTTATGTGAATGCCGAAGTTGCAGGTATAGAGAGCAGGAACGAAATAATTTTAAGTAAATTTGGTAATTCATTCTAAGTATTTTTAAAAATGTTAAATTTTTTCTTGCAACTAACTGAAATATATTAATATTTATAATTAAAGAAATATAGTTTTTTCCAACAGTATATAGTACGCAGTCCGAAAAAATAGTACAATACTATATATTATAGTACAGTTGGCAACCCTACTATAAGCACACATTTTTCAAACCAGTCACAGAAGACAGGATTAAAAATTAGTTACAAAAACTAAAATCGAAAGACGCTGATGACTTAACAGGTTCTCCAAATTCTGAGACAACCAAAAGAATTGGTTCTCCAAATTGAAACACAACGGTGCTTAAACAACGATCTTGCCATGATGCTAGATTGTGAAGATGAAAGTCAGGAGGATACATCCGACATTTGCAGTCCCCATGGAATTCTCAACAAGGAATTATTGCACCGTAATAAGAAAAGAAATGTAACTGAAAGTCCTCTCAACCGGTGCAGCGCCAATCGTAAAGAATTTACAATTATGTCAGGTTTCAAGTTTTTCAAGTTCGTCGCCTCGAGCGAGTAGTTATTTAGTGTCGCAAGTTTTATTTACGACCCGTTAGGAAACAGGCTGTAAACCGAAAAGGCAGCAAAATTACTCTTTCTTAAATGCAATGCTCCAATTTTTTAATTAAAGTACTAAGTAAAAAAACAGTATTAAAGATTACTAACTTTTCCATATTTTATTTACCTAAATCACCTAATGTACTTACCAAAATTATTTCTTAAAAATATTTGACGTTCGCATTCGCATCCGCATCCGCGGATGTTAGCTGTGGAACATCCGCATCCGCATTCGCATCTGCGGATGTCTAAAATTCCACATTCGCAACATCTCTAGTATAAATACATAATATGTGCATGAAATTAAAAAAAAAAATTAATAGTGCGTTCATCCCATGCAAGGCGTTTGGCCAAGCTTTTGTAACAATACTTGTGTTATAAAACTTATTCATATGAAATGCTACTCATATAAATAAAGTTTCAATTAAAAAAAAACCTCAGTGAAAAAGCGTGCGTGATTAAAATACTAAGCATCGTGAGCGTGCGTGAACGTGATCGAAAAATATATAACAGAACGTGTGTGCGTGATTTACAAAACCATCAACCTAAACCCAAAATCACCCACGCGCTCATCTCTAGTACAAACACAAACTGACCGGGTGCTAGCGACGCAGAAGTTCGGTAGCTTCGCACACACCATTTGTAGGTGAAAGCCGAGTGGTTCCGTGAGATTCATTTGTGCACCACTGGTCTAGATTGATCACGATATAACATAAATAAACGTATTTACATATTTTTTTTTTATCAATACTAAATATTAAATATAAGCGTATTTAGTTAGTTTCTATCGTTGTAACTAATTTGGATTTTTTTGGGACTGTTTCGGAATTTTCTGGATTTCGGGATCCTCGGAACGATTCGCTATTTTCGGAACCATTTCGGAATTTTCGAGACTAATTTCGAATTTCCGAGATTCTCGGGGCTATTGATTTGAGTTGAGGTGAAAGTACTTGATGTATTTAGCGTCTGCTACTTTAGTATATAGCAAGTCCTAAATACCTAAGTTTGTTTTACTTGAGTGTTTAGATATCTCAAAGGTATACAAACTAATACTTTAACCACAAAAGTACTTGTGTAAGTATGTCCATCACTGTAATAAAAATACATTGCAGTAAAATAACCTTTAAGAAATAGGAAGTAAACCCTCTTTATTTAATATTAATTTACTTTTTCCAAAATTAACTAAGTTTGAATTTCACAGAACTAAAAATATTATTATTTATCATACATACATATGTTTTTAAATCTCCATATATTTTGGCAGAATGTGCCAGTTTAAATTTCACCTAGTGATCTCTGTTACATGTATATTAGTTTTTAATTTTACATTCTGATTCTTTATTATCCTTGTCAATATCAAGAAAAGATCCGAACTTCAATGCGCGACTTTCTGACCATCTTTTGTTCTGCAATTAAAAACCTGTATTTATTAGAAACAAACTCCCAAAGCCCACCTGAGTAGCGTTTCATTTAAAATAAACAATCAAATATAACTTCAATTCGAAACTTAAACAATAACAAATCAGACAAAAGTATAGTCCAAAAAGATAAACTAAAATTTTTGTACATATAATATTTAAATATAGCGAAAAACAAGAAATAAAAAAGTCTAGCTCAAATAGATAAACTAAAAACTTTGTACATATAATATAGTGAGTGACTCATTTTTTATAACAAAAAATAAATATCTTTTGGTGGAACTTTTATAAATGGCGCTGTTAGTTTCGGTCTCTGGTCAAAATAAGTATACTGATATGTATGACCATGTCGCACAGAACGTTTAAGTTTCAACGTAAAGTGAAAACATTGCTAACCCCCATATTTTTACGCGCATTAGAAAGCACCTGCTTTCCAAAGCATTCATCGTGGCGTGTTTTTTGCACGCAACGCTTTCCGGAAGTCAGCAGCCAGTTATACTTGTATTTATCTCCGCAAAACTTTTTCACGCGTAGAAAACTACCAAAGGAACTCAAATGTAAGTTTCTTTAGGAGCGGATGATGGCTAACTTCAGCATACACGTAGTTTGCCCTAAATTAAGATACAGGCAGTTTTCCGGCTATTATGTTTTCAATAAAATAACTTAGAGCATTTCCTTTCTTCGTGAATATTTGTAAGAATATTTGTACAAGGTCTAATTTAAATTTTCTAGCGATCAGCAAAACGTGTTTTGAGAAATTTATTGACCGAGTTTAGCTGGACTAAGTAAAAGTTCCGATTCAAATGCGTTTTTGGATTGATTTTGTTGTGGATCATATATGTTGTCAGGTGATATACTTATGTTGGAAGCAGCGCTGGCATTAGGTGATTGATCCCTTCCTGGTAACTTAGTTTGAATAACTGTGGACTGTGAAGGTGATAACTCCGGAGAGCCTTCTGATTCACTGTCAGAATATGATGGAGGAAAGGGGAACATAAATCTGGTGTTCAAAAATTTGGGCATCGATATCTGGGAATTTTTATTATTATTTGATTCAGTTATCAAGTTTTTCTCTGATGCGACCTTCTCATCAATTTGGCCAGGAAGATAAATTGACTCTGCTGATTGGCATTTGGATTTGCTTGTAATAATAGGTGTATTCGAGGCGCTAATATTGGTATTTGACTTGTTCAAAGATAATAAATTGGACGCCATATTGGATTCTGGCTCTGACAATGGGTTAATAACGCAAATTTTTCGAGATACAGTGGGTGTGGGAAGTGCTTCGTTATGAGTGAATCCAGATGCATTACAAGTTTCGTTTTCAGCAGCAAAGTTTGTTCCAGGTATTACGGATAATGCAAGTCCGCTGACAATAGTCGATGACTTAATTATAGACAACGAAGTTTCCATTAACAAGCCTTTGTCGTTTGCATCATTTTTGGCAATGAAGGGTGCCTGCGGAATAATTTTGTGGTTCAATGCCATGCGTGTCCGGGACAATTTGCTTGTTGGACTGGCTGTTACTTCTTCTGGTATTGGTATTGATGGCAACAAAGTATTTTGTTGCTCCAATGACGCTGTGCACTGAGCATCTATATTAACATTTGATTCTGTTGACTCATTCACTCTGGATTCAGGCTCTTCTGAGCTATAGACCATGTTATATAGCGTGGCATTTTGTTTATAAATCATATCGGAAGTTTCATCGCAGCTAGCAGTCTTCATAAAAATGCACTCTGAAAAAATAATTGTTTTTTATTGAGCTCAAAAGATAGTTAAATCCTACCGCCAATGTTTTCTGGCTCTTTGATTATTGGAACTACCCGACTCGATGAGGATTTCTGCTCATTCTGCATAAATAAAGATGTTGTTGCTATTTGTCGTAAAGCTTCCATTCCTTCGTTTAGTATTTTGTTACTATTGCGTTTGTTTGCAAGTGAATATGGCTGAAATATAAACGATATATTTAGAGAGTAATGGAACAAAGGATTAGTTATGTTAATTAAATATGTATGCCTACTAAGGGTGGGCTTTAGTAGTCAGCCGCACCTTGTGTTTTAAGAAAACCAGGTGGAATTAACAAATGAAACTTGGTCAGGATGTTAAGGGAGGTATCCTCTAAAACATGTATAACTAAAAAATATAAACAATATCATTGTTTATAAGTTATTTGTTGTTAAAATTTCTTACGTCGTTCCACTTGGTTTCCTTAACAAAAAGTACATTTGTCACATACTTTCATATATATAAAGCCACATAACACTGTACTTAATACTTTACACACTTTTATTTTATTTTATCTTGTATATAAATTACTTTAATTCAACTTTTATCGACTTGTAAATTACATTGAATTGCATCCATATTTACAATAACACATGGTTGCAAACTGACACATAACATGTGTTGCCATATTGTACAAAACAATACATACAAAGAAGGCAATGTTTAAAAAGGAATACAGGGGAAATCAATACAAAATAAAATGAAAATTTACCGCTACTTTTAATCTGGGCATGTATTATTATCAATGAGGGTTTCCGGGTCACGAACCCCTGTGCAAAAAGTATTGCCCATGACGTAGGCGGTGTTGGTCCCGCCCGATTTGATTGCTTTAAGTTCGGTCGAAAGGCGCCGATGCGGAAAAGCGTTCTAGGCAAAAGTGCGGTACGGAAAAATTTATATTGGGATCGATAGGGGTCTTAGTCCTGATCATAACCATAAGAGACATCACTGGGGCGGCAGCCCCAGGAAGGAATTCTTGTTCCAGAAGTACTGTGGATGGTGTAATAATTTATACACTTTCAAATTATTATTTACCCCCTCTTAGTCTACACCCCTTCAATTAAGTGAAAGCATAACGGGATAGTTTTGCAGTTACTTATTTGCATTCATTTACTTATTAACAAGCTCGAAGGTGGAATACATTTCTAAAAAGATTTATTTTATAAAATGGACTTTACTGAAAATGGTAATATACATATTTTAAGTATTAAAAATATATGCTGATTTCCATTTTTTTATTCAGAAGATGAACTTCCTTCGCTTCAAGCGCTGGAATTCGGCATTCCAACGTGCTTTCGGCCGCTGAAGCATCTCAAATGTGGAATTTAATTAGGGTGTTTTTGGAATTGGGCACCCACGAGCAGTGTATTGAATTTTGCGAGGCAAATGGCTTATTATTACGCTCGCGGTTGTGCCCCATTCACAAGATCCCCATGAAAATAAATTTTCCGGAAACAATACCGCAGGCAGCTTTCGCTGCAATAAGGGGTCATGTCGAAGCAAGGCACGGATTTCCCGGACAGCAGGGACCTGGTTCGAAAGTTCGAAACTTTCGATGCCGCAGACATTTTTTTTTAATGTATGCCTATGCTCAGCATTGGTCACAAGCCGCTGTGAGGCTCGAAAATTATTTAAACGAGAGCACATTTTCGAGTTCTACTCTAACTGACTGGTACAACTACTGCCGAGAGGCAGTAGTATTATATGAGATCGATCATCAAGAGGAGAGAGGTAAAATTGGAGGTCCGGGGAAGATCGTCCAGATAGACGAATCGAAATTGGGGAAGCGAAAGTATAACAAGGGTATGTTGTCATTATCTATTGCTTTTTATTTCAATGAAATAAGTATACTATTATTTTTATATTTTAGGACGAAGAGTCGAGGGTCACTGGGTCCTTGGTATGGTGGAAGATGTGAGCGACGACCTTAGGTTAGAGGTATGTCCGGATAATGTGCGGTCCGCAGAGGTGCTCATACCCCTGATCAAAAAGCATGTGCTTCAGGGTACAATCATTTGTACGGATTTTTGGCGCGCGTATGACTGCCTTAATGATCACGGGTATGAGCATCGTAAGGTCAACCATAGCGACCCAGACAACCCATTCGTAGCGCCAGATGGGACCCACACCCAACGCATTGAATCCCAATGGAGAGTTGTTAAACGATTCCTCTCCAAGGATAATTATAACAACCCTTCCAATTTTGCCGATCTCCTCTTTGAGTTCATGTGGCGCAGAAGAATCGCTCGTAGACACGAGGATCCCTTTCTCAAATTATTGGATGCAATAAAGTATACCTATAAGCCATAATTGTTATGCTTTTTAAATTCTACTTAGTGAGGGTTATAATCCCTAAGTGGGGCCGAAGGCCGCCTACGCAGAAAGGTGTTCTCTGCAAAAGGTGTTAAGCTCCCTTTCTTCGCAAAACAGAAAGGAGAATTCTACTGCCTGAGGGTTATAAT